AGACTAACTACATTTTAAATATAAAAGTTCCTAAGATCATAAGATAAAACTATAAGATAAAACTATCAAGATAAAACTATCAAGTCAAAGCTAACTCATGGACCAGGTGAGGTGCCTGTAATCTCAGTGGCCCAGGAGGCTGAGGCATGAGGATTGTAAGGTCAAAGCCAGCCTCAGCATCAGTGAGGCACTAAGTAACTCAGCGAGACTCTGTCTCTAAATAAAATACAAAATAGGTCTGGGGATGTGGCTCAGTGGTCGAGTGCTTCTGAGTTCAATCCCCCGTACCTCTCCTCAGCGTCCAAAAAAGCTAACCCATGTGGAAATTTATGAATATTATACAGAAAGATCTAATTAAAACTTGTTCATCAAAACCAGAAGAGAGATGTATGAAATACCTCTAGGAAGAGGAGTTTTGCTCTACAAACTAAACACACAAACAATACCACAGGGTAAACATTCAAACAGGAAAGTACTTATTAAAAAGCACTTCTGCACGATGGCTGCTGATGGCTGCTGTTAATTATGAAGGAATTTTATCTTCATTATAGCGGGCCCAATGGGGTCTCCACTTATAATAGTTATTTATTAAAGCAAATCAAATTTTTCTTAATAAACAAAAACAGCAATTTAGTTTTGCCACTAATTTAAATTAATGAGTTGACTTACTAGAGCAGCATTTTCCAAAGTATGTTTCATAGATTGCCTTTTCACATAGCGCCTCTACTCACTCAAAGATCCATGTCTGAAAGGCTGTGTCTCCAGCCCACAGCACTCCTGGGGGGCAGTGGAACCCAGTGGGAGGTCTTCTAGTCACATTCGGGCCTGCCCTTGAAGGGGATATTGGAACCATGGCCCCTCTTCATTCTCTCTTTTGTTTCCCAGGCATCAAAAGGGTGCTCCTGCCAAGATGTGCTAACTTGTCATATGTTCAAAAGCAATGGCAACAAAACCTCCAAAACTGTTAGCCAAAATAAACTTCTTCTTTTTAAGTTAATCATCTCAGATAGTTTGTTATAGTAACATACCACTGACTAACACAGAAAGGATTCTAGTCAAATCAGGACAGCGGCTTGGAAGTGTGCACAGGAAAGCCTCTGAGAGGGAGGTCCCAGAGTACAAGGGCCTGCCACACGAGTTTAACCCAGTCTCCCATGTGACCCTAGAGACCTTTCTGATTTCTTTTCTTCAAGGAAAATCTATCAAAATCTGATCTGGTTAATCCTCATGGTACCCTGATAGGGAAGCCCCATGGGAAGTTCCAGTAACAATCCCACCCACCCACACTGTATTACCTGTTGGTCAAGGGATACATGGATCTTGGTGCCCGTTCTGCCTCAAGGGAAAGGGGAATCTGTTCAAAGTCTCTTAGGCTCAGAGATCACACCGGCTTGCTTTCAATACTTCTAAAGAAGAATAAGGAGAAAGCTGCTCTCCAAGGTCTGAGTAAGAGAGCTGAGGCTGGAAGTCGGAATGGGCCCTTGCAAGAGGGAGGTGATGTCCTCCTGCCCACACTTGGGATGGTGGCCTGGCAGGCCCATAGAGACAAGGTGAGAGATGGCACTCGGGTCATCCGCCCCAGTGGCCAAGGCAAAGGGCCAGCTGTAAAAAGGAGGAAGTCCTTCCTCCCACAGCAGTGGGAGCAGGGGGCATCCATCAGTTGCTTCTGGAAATACAAGGCTACGAAAGCCCTTTGCCAGCCCCCATCTCTAGGAGCCCTGACCCTTGTCTCACTGCGATCAAAAGGAACTAACGTATGGTGTGGCCCAGGCGAGAGGAGGCAGCCCCGTTTCAATAAAGCTGCTGGCTCCAAGAACCCCCATAATGGAAACAGGCAAGACTCCAGGGAAGGACAAACTTCAGCCAGACCCAAACCCCCAGGGACCAGCGTCAGCCGTGACCACAACTCCCTGCATCGCATGTTTGTAATAAAAGGTTTCTCCAATTTGATCTGGGGGCACAGTAGGGCTACAACCCCATCGGGTCTCCTCCTTATCCCAAGTAAACTTCTTCATGAGGAATTTTTTCAAAGCACATCAAAACCCGTTGAAAGTCTTAAGAAAAAAAATGCTAGGGGCTGGGGTTGTGGCTCAGTGGTAGAGCGCTCGCCTCGAACGTGTGAGGCCCTGGGTTCGATCCTCAGCACCACATTAAAATAAATATAGGTACTGTGACGATCTACAACTAAAAATAATTTTTTTAAAGAAAAAAATGCTAAACACAAAATATTTTCAGAAATTCTGAAATTACATGGCTCCGTGAAGTAGGCTGGATTTTGAGGAAGGTTTTGTGCCCTTCTTGAGTCTGGGATACAGACTTTTCTTACTCATTTTAACCACATCAAGAAATCCCCTAAGAGATTCCATTTTTCTCAGCGAGGAAAGTTACAAAAGAGAATGCGAAATGGGCTCGTTTTCTCAGGCAAAATGAAACACTTTTATGTTTTATTCATGCAAAGTGAAAGCCCCTTTCCTTTGCAGCATTACAAATTGAATTTGCTCTTGTAAATTGCTGTTAAAAAAAAAAAAGATTCAAAAGCAAAGGAAAGTTAAAAAAAAAAAAAAGGAGAAGCAGGCATACAAAGGCCCTTCTTCTAGGGAATGATGAAAACTCGGGGATCCATGGGGAGAAACAGAAGCTTTCACTGGCAAACATGCTTTTTTATTTACTGCTTCATAAGCAATCCTGCCCAAGGGTCCCCACCACCACAGGAGCTTGCTGAGGTTCTGGCAACCTAGAGAGCCCCGAGTGTACTACTAAAGCATGCTCATCTGCTAACCCCGAGGAGGAGGGGCTAAAAACAGGAGTGATCTGGCCCACATTTGAAAAATGAAACCCAGACAATGTGGCCTAATTTTCTCCAATTTCTTTGGGGCAAGTGGCTCTTCCCGTATTGTAGCACAACCGCACTCATCAGTGTCTGCAAAGCCTCTCACCCTCTATCTCAAATCATCCACTGTCCTTGAAGCTTCCACAGTGTCTGATTCCTCCTCTACTCCCAGTGTCTCAGAAAGAAGTCATGTAATTAGCCGCATCTGCTAAGTGTATGTTGCTTTAAAAAATCAAGAGCAAACATTCATTAAGCATTTGCTGTCTCTATCACAGTGCCAATTATCACATACACACACTGGCACACACAAACATGTGTTGTGGTCCCTGTTAGGATCCTCATCTCTCAGATGAGAGAAAACGAAGCTCAGAGAGCTTGAATAATTTGGTCAACTTGAATTTGAATCATTCCCCCCACCCCGCTTAGGTGTGGAGCATCTGGACTCATTTTAAAGAGTTTGGGATGGGCTGGAAACATCATCAATAAAAGCCACACATAATAGAACCTTAAAAATGGACACGCAGGCTGTGGGTGTAGCTCAGCGGCAGAGCACTTGCCTGGCACGCTGGAGGCCTTGGTTCAAGCCCCAGCATAACAAGACGAAGACAAAAACCAAACAAAAAACCCAAACACACAGCCACACCTGGTTGTTGATATAATGATCTCTACCTTAAAAACAAAATTGGAGGTGTGGGGGGGGGGCCGGGTAGGAACCAGGAAAGGTGCAAGCATTTTCCATCCAGAGCCTTCTACCAAGGCTAACTGTTTTTGATGATGACCAAATGCCACCAGATAGGTTCCTTGTAAAATGAATCAACTGATGTCAAGGCACCAACTCCAGTGCTACATTTCTGCCAAGGACGTGAAGGGCAGGTGCAGGTGCGTCATCCATGCTGAAGCACCTGCCCCAGATGTCAGCACTCACACTGACAAAAAGCTCCAAGAGGCACTCAGCCCCCGGGAAGGCTGACCCAGTCAGCAGTCGGAGAGTGACTTCAGTCCTTTCCTTGGTAGGCCATTCCTCACATCTGGTTCCAGCATAAATGCTCATCCTTTAACTGATGAATATTTAGTCATAATGCTTCCTTTCTGGTTGAGGACTTGGAACTAGATCAGAGGATCATCAAACCCGCTAATGCCCAGCATTCACAGAGAAAGTATGTGACAAGACTTGGCAGACCTGCCCCCTTAGAGAACCTGATGACCTGATAAAAAGCCAGAATGCTCAGGAACGAATCCATCAGCCCAGGAGAGCCGTCTCTGTCATCTGGGATTCCCACCCACTGTTGCAATGCTGTCAAACATTTTCAACAAAGCAACGATTTCAACAATACCTAATCATCCATGCTTGTCCTGGACATGAGATCCTCCATTACTTTGGAAACTGGCAACCATTGAATTATTTAAGAACTAAGGGCATTTAACGTCGCCTAATTACTTAACAGTAGTCTCTAAGTATGATGTCTATAATTCCACTAAAATCAGAATGCCCTTGTTTCTAGTCATCTCAGAGAACAGAAAATTCACGGCACAGCTAAGAAGCACTACGTGTAAATAGCTCACTTCCAGCAGAGTTTCACAAAAAGGACCCATGCAATGCAATTTTGATAAGACCAGACAGTTCAAGTGTTAAAGAAGTTTGGCCAACCCCAAGCCCAAGCCATTCCTGACAATCATGACTCAATGATCAAAGGTCTGTGATCAAGCAAGCATTCCATGAAGGAGAAGCCAGTAGGAGTGCTTTGAAATGAAGACTCAAGTGAATGGAGTAGAGTTGATTAGAGAACAATATAGAGAAGAGAAAAATTAAGAGATTCAGATCACAAGTTGAGTTGGGAACTTAGGAGGAGGAGGAGGAGGAGGAGGAGGAGGAGGAGGAGGAGGAGGAGGAGGAGGAGGAGTTGGAGGAGGGTAGTGGTTTTGGGGAGAAACATGCAGAACTTGAAGGCTGGAGCCAGAGCTGATAAAAGGCTGAAGTACAGAAACCAGGAAGGGAAGAGGCTTGGAGGGTTTATGGGGTAGGGAAAAAGAGATGCGATGTCATTTGTCACATTTACAAACAGAGTTCACAGTCAAGTTTCATATTCGGTGAAGTGTTTCGAGACCTTACTTCAGGGTTAAGCTAAAACAACTGGAAAGGGGACAGGGATGTGCCAGAGCAGGGACTCACCGGCCATTGTCTCGGCCCACGCCCCACACACGGATGCTCACGATGGGCTGTGAGTGCAGCACTGTGCGGTCCATGGGGTCGACCAGGCTGAGCATGTCGTTCTCCAGTATCAGGTACATGTCTTTGCCCTGGGATTCAATGAGAAAATGCCTGTCATCTTTATGGGGGCTCTGCTCTCCCATCATGTTCCTGGTGATCAAGGGCCACTTCCAAAAGAAGCCCTTGGGTCTAGAATTTGTTTTCTGAAGAGGGAAACAGTTTTCCCAGACTAAACTATTCATAAGTCTTTCCCAATCCCCCTTACATCCCCAATTTCTCTCTCCTCCCCCAACTCCTGTGACATGTGTCCCCAGCTTGATTTCTAGTTGGCTTTTATTTTTAATTATTTCACTTGTGAATCTGTAAGAACATGGGCTAATGTGATGTCCTGGAGAATCTTCTTTTTTGAACTGTATGCCCATCAGACTCTAATAAACCCTCTCTCTCCATTTTTCTGGCCACACCCTCACAGGCATCCATCCCCTTGAAGACCCTCCTTGACCCACAATCACATCTGTCTGTCTTCTACTTTCACACTATGACATGTCCATGTGATGTGCTGGCAAGCAGCAGGCATGGTCTGTGACACTTCTCAGTGCTGACAATCACTTCATGTCTATACGCCCATTGCCTGCATCTAGGATACTGTGCTGGGTGCTTGAGATGCACTGGATCATGAACTCTCTAAATTGCCCCATGAAGGCTGGTTTACTATCTCCAACTAGCACTTGAGGAAACTCAGGCATACAGCCACCTGCTGGAGGTGATGCAGAACCTGAGACAGGTGCACGCCGAGATTGAGGGAGCACCTGGGTTTCTCATCATAGTCACTCAGGTCGGTAAGCTTTGGTGTCATCTCCCCACACGTTGGCTCTTACAGGACAGGAACACTAGACTACTCAATTTCCGGCCCTCAGGCGTAATGTTAGGAACCATTAACCATCTGGTGTGCAGCTAAAGACTGTCTCTCTGAAGGATGCCCAGATTCTGCAGCGCTGGAATTAGAGAGGCCTCGCTGGGCAGGCAGGGAGGCTTCTTAGTGGGTCTTCAAATCCCAGAGTGAGATGGGTCAATTGCTCTTTGACAACATTTTTGACAATGATGTTTTTGATTTCTATCAAAAGTTTTCCAAGCGCATTCTGCTCTGATGTCCAGGGTGGCAGGAAGGTGTGTATCAATGCCTCTGCCAGTCAGTTAATCTACGGCCAGTGTCTACAGCTGAGAGTCAGAATGATCTAAATTCTTCCTCAAAGAGCAGCGACCCCATTTACAGATGAAATCAGAAAACACAATTGGTGAGACTGATGAGGCTGAAGAAACGCTACAGAGCCTGGAACAGGTTCACCCCGTCTCAGACCCAGGGTACCTCCATGTTAGTCACTCCATGTCGGTGTAAATCACAACAACCTTCCTTCTACATCCTACCTAAGAACTGTTCTTTTGGAGGGACCATCTGTTGACTGAAGGAGAGAGAGGAGCAAGGTGGACCATTGAGGCCTGGTTATTTGGATGGTGAGTAGAAGAAAAAACAACGAGAAGATGTGAAAGTTAAGCACTGAAAATGTATACAGGTTTTTCCTGGATAGAGGAAAATTCTTTCTCTTCTCCTCTTCCTGCCGGGAATCTAAAATTCTGGCTGGCAAAACGGTGCAGGCCCATTTAAAGGCAGACAGACTTCACCAAAGGAAGCCTTGGGAACCCACCTTCCTCCTCCTAGGAGGGAGTGTGAGTGGAGCTGCAGACGGCCCAACCTGAAAGCAAACTGGCCACCAGTGTTCCCTGGACGTGGACTGAGCAGGGCACAGTCATGCAGCAAGGCTATCCTAGGGTACTTCTGCCATGCTGGTTCTGCAGCTCTCAGAACCACGGCAGGAATGAGGCTTTTTCCTGTTTTCATATGATTTTTATACAAATTTGGTGTTTTTACTTACTCCTTTCCTTCCTGAAATTTTCTCAACTAACATTTTTGAAATGGAATGACTTTGTTCAAAGTGAGAAAGAATATACAGGTCACAATTCCACAACTCAGGCAAGATGTGGATCTTCATACTGTAAATAAAGAAGACGGTGCTATCAAAGGACATGCAGTTTAATTTCACAGTGGAGACATCAACCTTCTTGCACCTATAGGTGGGGGTCACATCCCCCCTTAGATATTTTGAGAAAGCCCTGGGTCTTTTCCCCAGAAAACTATTCTTAATATACTAGCACACTCATTTCCATATGCAAAATCTAGAAGGTTTCTGGGCCCCCAGAGTTCATCCATGGATCTTTGAGGATTTGATGATTTCCAGGGGGATTCTATCATTTAGCCACTGAGAAATGCTCTCTCCCAGGGCCCTAGTCTTACTGGGACACAGGAGTGCTAAGACTAAGCCACGTGGGTATACCATGCCAACTGTAGCCACCTTCATGGGGAAACAACCCTGACAAACACCTCAGAGCCACTCAATATCATACCTCACAGATCCCTGGACTTCGTGAATGTTATTCTCAGGTGCTGCTTACCTCTCCCCAAATGCCAACTGTATCTCGGATGTCATTTTTGCAGTAAGAGAGCTGCCTGATGCAGTTGTTGACAGCAACGCTGCTTTTACCAGGGGCGAGGTCCTCCTCTGCCATCTCTACCCATCCCAGAGAGCGCACAGCGAAACACTGGAAGACAAAATCGGAGGGCAGGAAATGATTCACTCGCCCTGCTCAATCTGAATCAATTTATACTAAAATCCTTGGGCTACCACAAGGTGTGCTTAATGACTTTTAATTACCTTATTATATTCAATCATCTAGTTCACTTAGCAAACCCTTTACTTGGATAAAATTAAACGGTGGCTGTTTTTTTTTTTTTACTACTTTAAAATGTAGGGATGATCTTGCCTAACTTGCATAGTGTGTTCAGATATTTTTTCTTAGAATAGATTATTAAAAGTACAATTATAGGGCTAATGGGTACAAAAATTTCCATGCTCTATGATCTATTTAAGTCAGATTTTTTTGTTTGTTTAACAGTAAGAAACGCAACCTCGTGAGATCTGTTATTGTTAAGCACACAGGAAAAGAAGTGAGAATGAATTAAACACGTGAGGCACTCGTTTCTAATAATGAAGCACAATGTTTAATGCTCAGGGAAGAAAATGGGGAAAAATGTACTTTCATGGCAACAAGTCATCTGAGGTCTGTCAGCATTTATTATTAGCACCAAACCCAGAAATGCTTGAAGGGCATATGCTGTTGTGAGACGGCACAAATCCTATCACACTTATTATAATCCTGTACAATTAGGTACAAATCCTGCACACTCTTCCAGTGGTATTTTATTTTGAGATCACATCCCTGTCTTCCTTCTTAAAGTTCTGGAATGCATTTTTTCCCTTTAAGTTAAAAGGCATTGTGTGTGTGTGTGTGTGTGTGTGTGTATTTTTTTTAAATGTTTAGTTATACATGGACACAATACCTTCATTTTACTGATTTATTTTTATGTGGTGCTGAGGATTGAACCCAGGACCTTACACATGCTAAGCAAGCTCTTAACCAATGAACTACAGGCCTAGCCCAGACATTATATGCTTATTTTAACAAATGAACATCCCAATGAAAATTCACAGGATATTTGAGGGCAATGTGGCTGCGGCATCTGCTGTGTTTTGGGTCACCAAGGTTGTTGTCCTGCTGGATGGTCTGAGCTGGGGTCCCTCATCCCTGCCTGAATCCCAAGATCCCTCTGAGCTGCGCATCAGTTGAAGAGAACGTTCCCAGGACAGAAGGGGCAGAGAAGCAGCCACATGCTTCCTTGGAAGCCAACAGACTGGCTCTTGAAGAGCAGCTTGGAAGGTTTCCAAAGTGAACTTCCAAACAAAATGAAGAAATGCAGCCCTGTGTCCTAACCTGACAACACTGCGTCCAGTTCAGCCTTGTCCATCCCAGACACCTTAACCAGACGGGGCACCTCTTTCCCAAGCTGCTAGTCATACTTTCTCTGCAGGAGAAGCCCACCAAAAGGCCAAAGACAAATATCAATGGCACAAAGAGGCTTAAAAACAGTCAATGGGCACATGTGGCTCAAGAACAGAGACATCCTGGAGTTGTCTCAGCTTTGCTTTATAGATACTGAGAACTTGGCCAACTCATTCACTAAGTACCAGTTTTTTGTTTTTGTATTTGTAAAAATGCGAATACTTATAGTAATAGATCCTTCACAAGGTTTTTGTGAAGAGAAAATAATACAGAGAACATAGCACAAAGAAAACACTCAATGACCACTTGTTAAGTGAATGAGCAAATAAATACAGGGCCATATAAATCTTACCTGGAGTCATCTGAGGTGAAAAATGAAAGGGGCAGAATATCTGTAATCAAGGTGACCATCTCACTGTTCCCCCATGATAGATAATTTTGTCGAAATAATAAGCATAATTAAGAGTATCCCCCCCTTTTTTATTGTAAAAGCATTCTAGGTTGGACAAAAAAACTAACAAATTAATGCTCAATTTTGTCAAAATTATAGATTAGACATGAGGCATGGACATGAGGCCTGGATAGGAGCACAGTGATTCACTCAAGAAATGGGGTTCAAGATTGACTGAAGATGCTCTCAGCAGACATCTTAGTGATCCTGCCAGGGGTCTCTAAGACACCAGTATGACTGTGGGGTGCTCACAAATCCTCAGAGCCAGATGCCAGGAACACATTTTCTCATGTAGCTACCTCTTACACAACCTCCAACCTGTAGATACTCAAAAGAACTAACAATAAGGAAGGTAAAAGGATACTGGCTGCCCTTTGCCCCTTGGATGGAAGAGCACACGGATTTCAACCTAAACAACCTCAGTAAAACCCAAGAGTGTCTTTCGTGGTTAAGAAACATGAATTACCCAACCCACCACAGAAAGTTCCAGAATGAAGTTTTTGTCAGGCTGATAAAAAGGAAACCAAAGCCCCAACTAAACCATTCTTATAATGAATTTATTTAAAATCAGTTCCTTTGAACAATCCTGTAGTTGTCTGAATTTAGTTTTTCAACTGAAAAGTGCCACCACTATTCCACGTGGCCAAAGAAAAGGAAACTGGTGCCCAGGGAATACTGAGCTCTTCCAGGGAAGCCAGCATGGCTTCCTCCCTAAGAGCAGATTGGCTAAGGGCTGCTGGCACTGTTCCGTGCTGCCCCCGAGTGGACAGGAAGGTTTATAACCACCAACTCCTTCCCTTCAACTGAGGAGACACTTTGGGTAATCATCTCTAGGAACAAACACCCATTTTAGGGTATGGAAAGAGAGGGAAAATACTTAATCAAATGAAGTCACCTATCTTCCAAAATACTTTTTTTAGATTTTTGATAACAAAAAAATCTTCATATGCACTTTGTCTGTTCATTCCTCAACAGCTCTTAACCAAAAAGACACTAGTTATTATTCATGTTTAAGGGATCAGAGTCATGGTTGAATTTGCAGGGGCACCGCTGTTGGCCTGAGCTTCCTTCTTTCCCCATGTTCTCTCTTCTCCCCCACTGCAATCAAGTTGTCATATTTTATCTGGAACATTCATCCGATTTGCAACTTCTATCTCTGCAAGTCCTATGTATGTTAAGAGAGAAATGCCCAGAGAGAGTCTCTCCCTAATACACATGAAATGGAGTAGAACACAGTGCAAAGCCTTGGTTCCTACAGCCACACAGTCCTGGGTTTGAATTCCTCTATTTCAATCAGGGGAAGTTCAGCTATCAAGACTCTAGGTTTACTTAGAGATGCCAGAAGATTCCAAGGAAATCAAGATGGTGAGTAGCTGGCAAATTGTGGGAACTCTAGCAACGTTCACTTTCTTGTCTTCTCGTTGGGTCAAGAAGACTATCACTTCAACCTTAGTTTTCCCTAGAATCTTCCATTTCTCCTTAACCTGGCTGAATTTCTAGGTCTCTGGCCTTTTCTTTCCCTTGAACTTTGACAGAGATAAGTAAGATGACAGTAATAATGGCAGAAAACTGGGGACCTCACTCATGGAGCTAGAGAAGATAGGGCATGGGCCTTGCCTCTAGCCAGGGGAGCTGCCTTCATGCCCAGAACCAAAGAAGATGGTGGCTAATGTCTATTAATGTGGCACATTTGGTGCCCAGAGCACAGTCAGTGCTCTGTAACTGTAGAGGGAGATTGACACAGAGGTAAATGGCACCTGAATTGGAGGCAAATTATAGATACTTAAAAAAAAAAGTTCACCCAGAAAAGCTAAAATGTGGTCTAACACTATAAATGCAATCTTGGTTACACTCGTTTATAGGAATTATCATTTAAGCCTAATTATGGAGTGGCACTGTGTATTGAAGTCAGTGGACATTTATTAAGTACCTATTATTTCTCAGAGACCTGCAGAGAGGAGCAAGACGAGAAACTTGTGATAGGGTACCCACATAGTGGAAATCTGCCCCCATGGGATAAGAGGGCACAAGCTTATGTTGGGAGCTCATGGAAGAAGTAAAGAGACTCACCAGTGAACCGAACAAACCAAATACTCTGTTCTGAGCTGTATTTCAAAAATCTGCAAGGACATATTCATTTGACTGCCACACCAAAGGTTCCACAGCTCCACCACTGGGGACCAAGATATATGAGGTATGACCATATGGGGGGAGGTGGGGAGGACCAGTGCGCACTGTATGTGAGGGCTCAGGTTTCTAAGCCACTGACCTTGGGATCAAATTTCAGGTCAGCCACTTATTATAACTTATCAAACAAGTTACTTGGTTTTGGCAAGCCTCAGTTTCCTCATCTGTTAAAATGAGGGTAACAGTATGGACCTCCATGGGGACTGGCGTGATGGAATGGGATGACTTCTGTTAAGCAGTGTGCCCAGGGCCTGGCCCAAGGAGAGGGGCTGAGAAAAGGAGGCTGTTATTTTCTCAAAGTATTGAAATCAATGTTGTATCAAAGTATAGTTATTTTCTCAGAGAATTGTGTCAGGGTTGGAGAAGACTGCCGAGGGCCAGTTGCACCAATCCTATTTCACTAAGGACACACCTTCAAGGGGAAGGGTAAGGGGAGATCCTGGGCCTGGTGAAAAGGTGGGGTGCGCTGTCCTCTGACGGGCAGGCTCCATCTCATCAACTGAATTCAGGGGTTTTTAAATCATGGGAGTTTCACGGATGGGTTTCAGGAAGTTCTAAATCCCTAAAAATATACACAGAATTGTGTGTGTACACCTGTTAGGGAAAGAGGGTCCAAAGCTTTCACCAGTTTTCCAAAGGCTACAAGACTATGAAGTACTTTAAAAGAATTCCAAAGAGGTTCAGTGCAGAGTGCTCACTGATCAAGATGTCAGCCGAAGCACGTGTGTTGGGAGTAGAAAAAGTTCACTAGCTGGCATCAGGGGTTTTTTTCTGGCACACGGATGAGGAAAATGGTTAAATGGCTCTGTGTAAGAAGTGACCAGGAATTTAGGGGTCAACAGAAGAAATGGGCACAGGGAGGTAGAGAGGGACCAAGGATGAGTCACACGACCTCTGGGGGAGCCGGAGCTTGAGCGGCAGGTGAGCCTGGCGGGGAAAGACGAGGCAAGTCCAACATCCAGATCTACTACAGGTAACAGCTTTGGATATAAAGCTCCCTCGATGTTGCAGTAAAAGCTTGTTCCAAGGAAATGGCGGACACCAGGGGAGTTCAAGGGGAAGG